GACGTTCAAAAGTGGCTTCCTGGTCCAATTGAAATAAATTATTTTGACTTCAATTTATTTATTTATTTATTTTAACACTTTATGTAAAAATCTGTTTAGGTACAATGGCGGGCTTAATGGCGATGGCATTCCCTACTAGCCAACCATAATAACCAATAGGGTGACGCAAGAAGTGTTACAGTAGGTTATAAACAAAGTTTGTATCTATTGAAAAAGACGAGTGTGATAAATAACCGTATATATAAAGGTATCCCAGTACATAACCTACATACCAATACTACATACTAATATGAAACTTAACTCGTCGAGTACCGGTTTTGTAGACACAATTATAGAACAATAGGTAGCGGTCACCGGTGACCGCTTGGTGTTTGACAGTTTAAATATACTATGTAAATAATTGTAAATATATAATGGGCTATACATATAAATGTAACGTGAAACGTCAAGACGTCGAAAAAGTATCAATTTGTTACAGCACTAGGCACAGTGCGGTGTCAGATCACCTAAAACCCTAAAATCTGATCTTACATAACCGTCATAGTACGTACCGTCCTGTAATACTTGGAATGACTTGACGCAGTCAGAATTTAGCTTAAAGTGACGGAAAGCGTGGCAAGTTGAGATATTAATAGCAGGTAATTTGCTTTCCCTGGTGACAACGTTTTTATTTAAAAACATTCTCTAAGCGGGAAAGTGAAATCTTCGACACAGATTAAAGACTCTTTGATGGATTATGATGTTACATTGTTCTCGTACAATCGAACCAACAAAATTATGTAACTGTATAGATCATTGTATTGTGAACCTGGTTGAAAAAGAGTAACCTATGGAGTTTCTTACTCGTTCTTCTCCATTGGAATGATCAAATTCTTCACTTTCACTTTTTGTTGACGTTCTTGACTACAAAAGATGCACTTTAAATTTTTTGTTGACGTTCAAAAGTGTATTTCTGGTCTTACTGTAATCAATGGTTTTGACTTATTTCTTGGCTCAGCATATAACGTCTCATTTAATTGAATGCACTTTCAACTTAGTAGTCTGTCACAGAAATAAAACTACTTTTTATCTTTTTTGTGAGCATACATTTTAACAGCAGAGACATATGTATGTTCTTCCCAGAATGAATATTCAACAGATTTTTTACATGCAGACCTCGAAACGTTGTGTTCCAGGAAGTGGAGAATTGAGCTACGGGGAAAATCGTAAGTTGGTTCCAACACATTTTTTTTATTCCAAAAGGGATGGGTTACCCATCCCTTTTGGAATTCAAGTTAACATAGATACATAGTTTCATTCAAGAGTCTCATATGATAATGGTGGACCTTTTCTAGACCCCATTGCAAAAAATTTTAGAATTACTGACGGTTAATAAATATTCGAACAAAAACATCAAGTTATGAGAACCATAGTTAGATAACTTATTAACGACCTGTAGAATATTTATTTTAGAAAAGGCTTATCAATACATAGTATAAAACAAAGTCGCTTTTGCTGTATGTCCGTATGTATGCTTAGATCTTTAAAACTACGCAACGGGTTTTGATGCGGTTTTTTTTAATAGATAGAGTGATTCTTAAGGAAGGTTTGTATGTATAATACATGCATATTGCACCCGTGCGAAGCCGGGGCGGGTCACTAGTTATACTTATAATTGTTAGCCTTCTTGTTATTATATCTACAGCTACGTTTACTGCCTCGTTGGCCGAGTGGTCGCTAATGCGACTGCCGGGCAAGGGGTCTCGGGTTCGATTTCCAGGTCGGGCAAAGTAAAACAGGCTTTTTAAAAAAACTCTCAGTAGTAGCACGGAGTCTTAAATGTGCCCGGTATGTAGTAATAGCCTCACCCCTTATTACATGGAACTCATAACATAAATAGTGAAAAGTGGGTGTTAGATTGTACACTGGCATAATGTGCACCTCTGCCTACTCCTTCGGGGATAAAAGGCGTGATGTTATCTTATGTTATGTAGCTACGTTTACTTAGGACTTCTTTGTTATATGAAAATACACCCACTTTCTCAGTAGGTACAGTCAACAAGAGGAAATCTCAAATTGAGCCAGGCGTAAGGCAATAGATTTAGCTCCTGTTACCACGTACCATATACGTAGAGGTACATAATTATGTTACGTTTATAACATCAAATATGTACTTAAAACTTTGTAATTTATAAAATGGTACTTAAAAATGTGTGATAGGTAATTTATTTATTTATTTATTTAAGCTTCATGCACAAAGTGTACATAAGGAGGACTTAATGCCGCAGGCATTTTCTCCCAGTCTGACCTTTGGATGATGTAGAGAAGAGTTAATGGTGTGAGCAAGAAGCAAGCAACGAATTAATTGAGCAATTAAAATAGATACTAATCATTTTTGGAACGAGTCTCCTAAATTATAAGGTATATAATAGGTACCTACGCTTATCACAGCCAGACAGCTAAATAAAAACCAGACATAGGTAGGTCATGTCGGACAAAAAATGCTTAGGTATAATTTGTTTTATAGTTCATTTAGTGACTTTTTTCACCTAATACCCCAACTAGACTTGGGGTAAGTACTGAATCGAGCCAGATGTTTAATTTGTAACATTTACTCATAACATCACGCCTTTTTATCCCCGAAGGGGTAGGCAGGGGTGCATATTAAGGCACTTAATGCCACTGTACAGTGTCATACACCGGACACAATTCCAGACTCCGTGCTACTACTGTGATTTTTTTTAAATTCTGTAAAACTTTACCCAACCCGGAAATCGAACCCGAGACCCCTTATCCGGAAGTCGCACTTGCGACCACTCGGCCAACGAGACAGTTATTTATGTAGGCAGTGTAACATTTTATAATTATGATATTGCTTGCTCCCGTAACCCCTATCAGAAAAAGTGATTTAAGGTGGCTCTACACATTGGGCCAACGATCTTCGGCCATCGTCAGCGCGGGCCTGCGGACACAATGTGTAAAGCCGCCTTTAAACCATAAACCATTAAATCTAGTAAAACTTAAGAAGGTCTTAAGTTAGGTAGGTAAGATTAGCATATTATAAATTGATATCATTTTGGTTTGTTTACTTTTAACCACTACCTACAGATGACACACCACACTCAGACCCGGAACAATAACAGTTGGGTAACACAAAGAATAGTTTCATGGTTATAATCAGAATATTATGATAGGAACACAAAAAATCTACCACATTTTTATATACAAACAAATCCAATCTAATATCAAGAGGGAACATGTCCAGACAATTCGTTATTACAGTCTAGTACAGAACATTCGACATTGACAAATTATATAACAAATACAATGTACATGAAAATGCTATCCGAACGGACCGATGACTGATTTCTAAATGACCCTTTTAATATTTTGTGTAGTAAATAATGAAGATATGACGATCAGAACGAGGGATGATAGTTAAATGCAGTGCTAAAATAATTTATATTTGTTGCTTAATTTGTTCTGGACTTAGTTAGTACATAATTTTAGTACATAAATAATAGTTTAGTTTAAACGGTAGGCAATAAGCAAGGTTATTACCAAAAGCCGGTTATAAATTTCAATCGCACTGAACTAAGAGCCTTGCGAACTAAACTAAGTATCTGGTGCTTCGCAGTATATACTATTAAATTAAACAGGCAATCAAACAGCATCTATAAAAAGTTTCTCATTATTTAAATTTATTCTAAACAGTAATACAAAAGCCATTATTACGCAATTACTCAGGCTTCCTAGACGGCAAATGACAAAACGATCTTAATGCGAATTTCAACTATATCCCTAGACTTTTACTTTCCGACTTCTAAATTTATTTTTGCGTCAAGACTTATATGAAACTGTTAAAATACAACATCTGTAGTGTACAGATTTAGAAACAATAATATTACAAACTTATTCGAAAGAATGTAACGTTAAAACCTAGAACAAAAATGGTCGTTTAACCACAATTTTCTTCAGCAATTCTGTAGGACTGTAGTATATTTTCTAATATGTCTAGAAAAGTAGTATATCTATTACGCTGTAATAATAAATAGATGGCGTAAGAAAATAATGTCGTAATAAATTCTGTTAACATGAGTTAAAGGGTGTAATTTATGATTTAGGAGCACTTAATACGTATTACATTAGTATTTCTTACTACTTGCAGTTTATTTATAAAGTCGTCATATGTTACATTATGTACCTATCTACCTAGTTATCACTCCATAGTATAAAAAAAGTCGCTATTCGCCGTCTGTCGTCCCTATGTATGCTTAGATCTTTAAAACTAGATAACGGGTTTGGACGCGGTTTTTTTAATAGATAGAGTGATTCTTAAGGACGGTTTATATGTATAATACATGTCTATTGCACCCGTGTGAAGCCGGGGCTGGTCGCTAATTAAATAATAAATCTATGTCAGCAATAAGTCTCTCAAAAGGACGGCGACGGCGTGAGTACATAACAATAACTAATATGAATTAAGGTTATAAAACGATCTAATAAATGATGGAATATCGTGTTTATCTCTTCTTCAATCTTTCAATTAACACGTTAAACGCCATGGGGGTCACCGGTAGCCGACTTTAGCGGTGGAATTAGGTATTTTCCTAGGTAAAAAATAAATTGTTTTGATTTTTCAATCCAATAAAATATTAAAAAATAATTGCACTTTCATTTATTGATTTTATAATACACTTCATTTTCGATTAATTCTAGCATTTTGTTTCAAAAATACGTGTGTGACTCGAAAATATGATGACGTTTTTGACGTTTCGATAGAAGTATTAAATTTGACTAGTTGTTAAATACCGTATTGCCTACAACCGCCAACCAATGCCAACCGCCAAGGAATTGCTTTTTCTATTGGTAGTTAAAGCTATAATAACAATTTTCAAAAATATACACACGAATCAATGTGAGGCATCTTTGTTTTTCTTAAAATATGCAAAAAATAATCCGCTGTAAAACTAAAGTTAAGTTTTCTTAAAACTAAAAAGTAATAAATGAACAATACTAACAAGGTGTACCTTATATGATACCCCATTCTCGCGTATAAGCAGAGAATGAGAATCGCAGGGACGAAGAAGAAGAATATACTGCTGAGTTCTAGAAGAGGAGACGGTGCCATCAACGCGCAGAATGCTGATTCCAGGGAAATGTTGCCGGAATCTGAAAAGAAAATAAAACTTTTGTCATGATCATCCAGTATGTCAGTATCATTTTATTGTGACATCACCAGAAAAGTAGAAAAATAATTATTTTATAAGCTACATTTAAAACAACCGTCCTCAAGCCCTCTTTTTTTAAGTCGGCTAAATAATAGACCTACTAAGCCTAGCCTTCTCTTAAGTGTAACAAACACATTTCTGAAAACCGCATCTAATCTCTTCAGCCAATCCTGAGATAATTGCGCACAAACATACATACAGGTCAAACTGAGCACACCCTTTTTTTCAAGTCGGTTAACTCGTCGAGCACCGTCAATATAGACACAATTAAAGAACAATAGGTTGCGGTCACCGGTGACCGCTTGGTGTTTGACAGTTTAAATAGTGTATCGTTGACATACAACAATTATAAAAGTCAGCAAAAAGATGACTATTGCTGATCATAGGTTCTCCCCTGAGTACTTCAATGACGGCTGCCTATAAGTAGAGATCTAAGTGTGGGAGAGCCATGCTTGAATGGGCCGGCTCGACCGGAGTGATACAACGGTTTTACAGAAAACCGACGTGAAATAACGCTTATGTTGTGATTCGTCGTGTGATTGGGGTTATCGGAGGCCCAAATATCCCTCCCCCCCTTCCCCAATCTAAACATTCCTGAATGCCCGACATTCCTCAAATTCGTAAACCCCAAAGGGCCGGTACCGTACTTGGAAGTAACGCCTCTGGTGTTTTGGGTGGCTGGTGGGTGACTCCGATTGCTTACCATCAAGTGATCCGTATGAACGTTTGCCGGCTTATCCTATAAAAAAATAATAAGATTACAGTACCCTAAGATAGCACAAAAATCTTCAGTCTTTTATTAATCGAAGGATACTTGAAGGCCCATCTTCTTTGCTTTTAAAAACAGTGGTTCTTATTCTACCTCCTTTTTATCTTTATTTCTCGTTACAATGCACCACTCAAGATCGTTAAAAAGGTTTAATGAAATTAATTTACTCACTTAAATTTAATGAAGAATAATTTCGCTTTCCCCCTTATTTACGCTTTTTTGGATTTCCTCTAACGAAATTAAATATCATTTTTAACCCTTTCAGCGTAATTAAAATTTTCAGTGGGTCACTAGGGCAAAGGCTTTTGAGTAAAAGTTTGAATTTCAAAGAACTCTTTCTTAGTATGAATTTTGTTACTTTATACTTCTATACACAGGTCTTCTCTACAGGGTTAGCCTCACCATCGATGTACGGCAGTAAGGTTTAAAAGATTCAGGTCCATCAGACAGTCTATCAAATATATAAATTTCTTAATCACTTCTTGTGGCGTGAAGAATGGAATTGGCGAATAACATAACATAACATCACGCCTTTTATCCCCGGATAAGTAGGCAGAGGTGCATATTACGGCACTTAACGCCACTATACAATGTCACTTTTCACTACGTATGTTATGAATCCCATGTAATAGGAGGTGAGCATATTGCCATATTTCGGGCACAATTCCAGACTACGTGCTATTACTGAGAAGTTTTAAAAACCCAGTAATACGAGTCCCATGTAATAAGAGGTGAGCATATTGCCATATTTCGGGGACAATTCCAGACTCCGTGCTATTATTGAGAATTTTTAAAAACCCAGTAATACTTTGCTAGACCCGGGAAACCCGAGACCCCATGTCCGGTACTCGCACTTGCGACCACTCGGCCGAGAAGGCAGAGGTTGACGAATAAGTGGTGGTATTTTAGGCTAGTCTTTCACTTAAGTGATTTGGGAGTTTACATGACCCCGGAGTTGTTGTTCCGTGAGCACATAATGAAAATTTGTAAGAAGACGTATAGAAATCTAGGATTTTTATTGAAACAAACGCGAGATTTCACTAACTTCTCTACAATTCGGGCCCTTTATGACGCATTAGTGAGAAATCACTTGGAGCACAGCGCAATGATATGGGCGCCTCATGAAAATAAGTACTCTCTGATGTTAGAACGAGTTCAGAACAAATTCACTCGTCACTTGTATTGGAAGCTGTATGGAGTGTACCCGTTGTATCCGTTAATGTATCCCTCGTTATTTGTGCTGGGTATGGTCGGGTACAATCAATTGAAGGTGCGTCGAGAGTTTACTCTTACCACCTATTTGGTGAAATTGATTCGGGGATTGGAACATAACCCAGATGTTCTTCAAAGAATCAGTTTGTGGGTACCTGACAATTATGTAAGGAGGCGGCGGCGTCCGCCTCTGTTGGCGGTGCCGGTGGCTAGGACGAACTTACTGGCGAAAGCCGCGGTTACGCAAGCTATCCGTAATATAAATGTTGTGCACGAGCAAATAGATGTCTTTACCTGTCAGCCGAGTGAATTCACAAAGATTCTGTTATATAATTTATGTTATAGATAGGCAATAATAATGCTATTTATTTGTCTTTATTTTATTAAGTTTAATACAGGTTTTGTGTTTCTCTTTATCTCTGTAATAGTTTGGATTACTTTATTAGTTAGTGCCTAAAGTATAATATGGTGTAAGTAGTCGCTAGATTTTATAATACCTTGTTATCGCATTGGGTCCTAAACCTGTAATGTTAACTTGTGTATGTAATAAATAAATAAATAAATAAAAGTATGTTTTCTAACAAAAGTAAAATCATCATCATCAACAGCCTATAAATGCCCACTACTGAGCAAAGCCTCTTCTCACACGGAGAAGGTTTTAAGCAATAATCCCTTGCTCAATGCGGGTTGGCGATTTCAAACTTATAATTAGAAATTATAAGTCCAGGTTTTCTTACGATGTTTTCATTCACCGTTTGTCAGTGGTGTCTAAACAATCTTAGAAAGTACATATAATTTGGAAAAAGTCACATTGGTAATAGCGGTTGGTAGGTTTCGAACCCGCACACTCATACATGAGAAGCGGGCGTCTTAAACCTTCGGGCCACCATGACACAACAAAAGTAAAATAACAATAACTAATAATATCCAATCGAAACAATTCACTCAATTGTCTCTAACAATCAGAAGAAATGAATGTAGTTTCGAAGTTGGACAAATATGTCTAATGAAAGTTAGGCTACAGTTCACTGCAGTTGCCACGTGAGAAAAGTTGGCAACAGCTTGTTGGCGTCCCACGCAAATCGTTAGATGGTATGTAACGTATACCAACCGTCGTAAGACCGTCTTATATGAAAAGTTCCAACTTTACATGTAATACATAGAAACGTATATATGGATAAGGAATAAGCAATGAAATTAGGTACTGTTTTTTTTTGCTTTCTTAGACCCATTTTAACTTTAATGACTTCACTAATACCTTTTCTAAAACCTGCTTCAAGTCCACATTGTAATAATTAACTGATCTCAATTGGAATGATGACAGTGTATGAAAAGTAAAATATAATTTGTCCGTAAGTTAGGTAATGAAAAAATTTTAGACACGTATTTTTTTTATTTTGTCGTATAATAAAACAGTACTTAGATATAATGAATCAAAACGCCATTTCTACGTATAAAATATATATAGAAGTGACGTCACGCGACATTTGAAATCAATATATCGTCGAAAATATTCGTTTCCGTAAGAAAATAAAAAATACGTGTCTATTGATTTAAAATAATCTACCAGAGGGACATTAAAATAAAAATTAGGCATCTACCCTATTGTATCTGAAAATTGTAATGGTACCACCTAAACCGTAGGGTTTATGTACGTATTAGTATTAATTTTCTTATAGTAACCAGTTTTATTATTATAATTATTCTTAAACATCTATATAATGCAATTTAGTAAGTGATGCACTGCGACGAAGGTTTGGCCTGGTGATCTGTGATACAGGTTTTACCTATTAAGTTTATAGTGTCATTGTTTGATATAATCTTTATTGTTAGTTGATGTTGAGACTATAAGTAACATAATACAATAAGTTTCATAACACCAGTGTTTTAACAATCCTCTTAAATAGATCCCTTTTAGTCAACCCAAGGAACTCTGACTAACTCAAAGACTCTGGACCTCTTAATCCACAGCACGATTATACAGTAACCTAATCAATCCATACCTAATTTACATGTTACATGTAAACCGCTGCTCGAAGCAACGACACGTAACATGGCGCTGAATCAACGCAATTTGTATAAATATTTCACACATGAGAACAAAAAGTTACGTACATGATAGCAGTACAAATAATAAAACAACATTCTAAATCATGTCCGCATAGCGAAATAAAATACGCACCGATTTTTTTTGCGCTTTTTATCGCGTATTTGGATACTTTCGTAAGATTTAATGTGTTACAGAATTCGGAACTGAATCCACGTAAATTTTATTTCATTCCACGGACAGGCTAGTAGTAAATACCTACATTTATATGTGGTTATACGGGGGCTGGTATATGTCCCAAGTATGTATGTGTTTTAGAATCGTGTTTCCTTACAACGCTTTAACAACCTCGTACTCGACGTGCATAAGACGGTGGATAATTAATCGTCTTGTGTGAAGCGGAATAAGTAGCCTTGTGTTGCGAAACAAAAGACGGAAAATATGGAAGGTGTGGGTTACTCTTTGCAGATGTTTTACTTGGAGTTGGAAGCGAGAATTCCTGTACCAGTAAGAATTTTTGAAGGCCATGTAACCAACATAATATTTGATACATTCGGCTATAAAGTACTTTTATGGTTGCTATATAAGCCTATGAAGAATTAAATTATAATTTTTTTGATAATCCCTTAATAAATAAATTTTGTTGCACGGGCCTGCGGAGGGCGAGCACTGGTGACTCGCCACCCGATCAGAACCAGACCCGAGCATACGGCGCGTCACGTTCCGCGCGCGCCTCAAGGAGCCATCAGACCACCACAGATGGGGCCCAAAAGGGCTGATGCCGATACGGAGCCGCGCAGGACATAACGCATTGCCGGGACTTCGGCTCGAAGAGCAGGAGTAGAAGCGGGGTGGTTTTTAGTCAGTAAGTGTCTGACACTCCCTCTCGCCTCATCCGGGCGGGAGGAGTCAT